TATAGTATTATACGCTTATTAATTATAATATGTATTTACAGTTTTACAGTATATTGTTTTAAAATCTTCCCACTTCCAACGCTGTTTGATTTAAAATTCACCCTGACCTTCCATGGCAAACAGTTCGAAGACCTGCATCCGCACCTGCGTCATATATGTTTATTATAAAATAAAAGAAACCTGTTTGCAAGATTTCGTAGGCTATAGTGTTTCGATATTTTTATATAAAAAACTATTTTATTTTGGCAGCCATTTTGTATGATAATATCTGCAATTGCTCAATGGTGACCGGCGTCCCGTCAAAATCATTCATACTGACGGTATTAACAAATCAAAATCCATCAAAAGAAAAACTTTTATTGTACATATACAGTTACTTTCACTGTACTGATGTTAGTTTTATGTTTTAATAAGTGTTTTATTGATGATTAGATTTATATTGATATTAATTTATACAATTAGGCAGTAAAACTATGTTTACAAAGAATTTATTAATGTTTTAGGTCTAAAAAGAGCAATTTTTGATGGATAATTTTTTTTATAGGTAAAATTTCAATTACAAATTACGTTCCTTCGGTTTTCTATTATATTATTTTTTGATGTGCATGACAAATGCGTCATATATGCATAATAATATTACTGTGCAATAATTGATCTACTAATTGATAATATACTTATTATGTACTTCCAGACATTGCTATTTCTTGTTCGAGACTGGCAGGCTCCTGCAGAATACGAATTTGGCATAGAAGGGGGAGAAAAACACATGGAGGATTTTATTGTTAGTTTATTAAATTGGTATTACTGAGATTCCGATTTCTTACTCAATAGCTTAGGCAATAATATTTTGATGTGATAATGCAAAACCTCCATCTATTTGGGCAATAATATTGTAAAGTATACTATTATAATACATTACAATGGTAAATGATTTTTCCCCTAAAGTCAATAATTAATGGTAAACTATTAAAGTCCTGTTTGTGATTGCTTTGTTCTATTGAGTTAAGTAACGGAATTTGATGATTATACACATCTTTTAGAACACTTTGGACACTTTTCTGTGTTGGTTAATGTTAATATTAAACTTTTGATCTTCAAAATGATGTCATAATAATGTAAAACGTCAGATTTACTTCTTTGAATAATTATATCATATATATTATTGATAAGTCAATATAAGCAATTTTTGGCCAAGGCTTTAAAGTAACTTGAATTTTATTTTATATTCAAAATATTGTAAAACTAAAAAAAATATTTTAAAAAGAAAACAGCATTAAATATATTTATTAGATCAAGATGATTTTTTTTTTTCAATAAATAGTTTGTATTGTTATCTGGTAAATGTATTCAAGTAGGTGCATTATGTTTATTATGAGTGATTTCTTAAAAAATTCAATGTGAAATAATTATCCTTAATTTGATAGGAACAGTGCCGAGGAAAATCAGTGATTGGAGATATGTTTCCTAACATATTGTGTTTCCTAATGCCAAGTCCTGGTGATAAAATCGTGTATTGTAGCAACAAATGTAAACTTAATTGTAAGTAATTATTATTTTTGAAAAAAAAAATATTAAGAAATGCAATATATTAGACACTTTCTGAATTAAAATGCTGCATTAATGCTAGTACATTTCAATTTCAACATTTATAATTGAATATTGCAATGGGGTCATTTATGGATTACCAGGAAAATTATTCAAGAAAACATAGCCTCAGTTAATTATTAGAGCCTGTCTTGTCAAACAACTATACACAGGGCAGCACATAACTCCTACTCTTACAATTCTCCATTGACTAACAATTCAACTGAACATTTAGATTCAAAATTCTTGTTCACACTTTCAGAATCCTTGATAACTCTTCACCAGTGACCTACGGAGCCTCTAAAGGGACATGGTTAGAATAAATATTGAACTATTTCGAGGGAATGAAATAATATTTTGTTCCATTAAAATAATATTTCGTTCGCTTGAAATATTATTTTACTGGGCGCCAAACCGACACACTACCCGTTCTGTCATAAAAAATCTATGTTTGTAAGTCAAATCATGTTTTGTAATATACGAAAGTAGTCTGTCTTTGCAAAACGTATTTTCTAAAAGACAAAACCATGTTTGTCCGTTAAACCATGTTTTGTAATAGGTAAAACCATGTTTGTCTGTACAAAACGTACTTTTTAAAAGACAAAACCATGGTTGTCTGTACAAAACATGTTTTGTAACAGACAACAACATGTTTGTACAAAACATGTTTTGTAAAAAACAAAACCGTGTTTGTCTATATAAAACATGTTTTGTAAAAGACAAAACCATGTCTGTATGTACAAAACATGTTTTGTAAAGAAACAAAAACCATGTTCGTCTATACAAAAAATGTTTTGCCAAGACAAAACCATGTTTATATGTAGAAAACATGTTTTGTAAAGACAAAATTATATTTGTCTGTACAAAACATGTTTTGTAAAAAGAGCAAAAACATGTTTGTCTATATAAAGGCCGGTTCCCATTGAACGTGATTAACGCAGGAGCGGACTTTCACCCAAATAATCACCGGTCAAATAGTACTAGAGACGTCGTTTTCAATGTCAACATGCAAACGAATTTGTAGTCGAACACGCGAACGCCCAATATTCGAACTTCGACACGTTGCGCGCGGTGGTTGCGGAGGCTTCGCCTGCAAATTTACAAGAGTTGATCCAAGAGTTGATTCACGAGCAAATTCGTGGCCGATGGACCAATCGCAAGGCTTAGATTCAATTTATGTCAAAGGCCAACCATAAAGTCCTGAACATTATCATAACAATGTGCAGATGTGAGCACGATGACTGATGAGTCCGTTTCATGCAACTTTGTGGAACAGTAGGGCAACCCTCGTTTAGGTCTGTGACAACGGAGCAAAGAAAATCATGTTACAATGCGTGGAAAAGGATTTACAGAGAGTTGAGTTATCTTCTCTTTCTAGCAGTATTAGGCCTGTATAGCCTAGGTCTCTGATACCCTGCTAATACTATCTGAGACCTACAGTAAGGTAGGCTAGGCTAGGCCTACTATCTACTCTTAGGAGGCCTACAGTAGCTCTAGGCCTAGGCCTTGGATAAATATGCACTAAAAAAAAAACCTGTGTTTATATTCCCTCTTTTGTTAAATAAATCAAATCAAATAAATCTTTATTGCAATCAAAAAACAATAGTAGTGATTGGAATATACAAAATATAAAACAGTACTAGAAAAAGAGGCAATATTAATAAATATCAATAGAGAAAATAAAAGCATTGAGATAATTTAATTAATATATTATTATTATTATTATTATTATTATCATTATTTAATCTAATTATTAATTTAATTTATGAATTATTCTAAAAAATTACTCTCAAATTATATTTTTAGTAACATCAAATATTGCACAAAGGAATACAGATAAAAATTGATTGAGAAAGACAAAAAGAGTAACACTAAACATCAAAACTTACTTTGTAAACATAAATAAGCTTAATTAAAAATACTATTAAAAACATCAATATGACTTTGCTAAATTAAAAATACCATTAAAAACTTCAATAACGACATCAAAATTTGCTTAATTAAAAAACCATTAAAGACATCAATAATGACATCAAAATTCCTAAATAATTACATTGAAAGCAAAATAAACAAATAAATAGAAAAAAAAGCCACATTATTGGCGGGGGAGGGGGGACTAGCTCAGTATGGGCGAATATAAGAAAAATCAAAATTTGAAGAAAAACCAAAACAAAAGGGGCATTGACATTGTTGGGGGAAGGAACTAGTTCAAGATGGGTGAACACAGGTTATTTTAAAAAGATTATTGATTTACCATTGATGAAAAATACCATAGTTAATGATGAATTTCTTGGTTCTTTCACATTTAATTTTGGGTAGTGCAAATTGTCTAATATTCCTTAGTCTATAATTATGGTCTGGCGTTGGGGTTAGGAGATGATTTAATCTGTGTTCGCTCTTCTTGATTTTCTCAAAATAGATTTTAGAGAGATAAAGCAATCTGTCTTTAAGTGGAGATAGGCCTATTAAAAGAAGAGCATTTTCGTATGACATTCCTGGAAGAATGCATTTAATAGCCCTCTTTTGAATTGTTTCAATGATTTGTTGTTGTTTGAGAGTGGTGCCAGTAAACCACAAAGGGCACGCATGCTCAGGGACTGACCTAATAACACTGCAATAATAGTGACGCAAGGTGAGGGTATTAAGGCCACATCTGCGTAATTGTTTTAAAAAGTAGATTCTTGTATTACATTTGGATACAATAGATTGAATACGGCTTTCCCATCCTAGGTCATCCTGGATCGTAACACCTAGCAATTTAGATTGACTAACATTGCCAATATTAACACCATTTATCTGAATCATTGGAGGTTGTGATTTTACACGTTTACAGCTAATTAGCATTTCCTTAGTTTTCTTTTCATTAATCTTCATTCTGTTGCTAGTGGACCAGCTACAGATTTCCTCACAGACATTTTTAAAGGTGCCCGGTTCTTTACTAGAAATCTTTTCTGACACCGTGGTGTCATCCATGTATTTAACAATAGGAAGATTATCTTTAAGGTCATTAATGAAGATAATGAAAAGAACTGGCCCGAGCCAGGACCCCTGAGGCACACCTCCATTCGGACTTAGCCATCTCGAGAAGTGATCGCCAATACGTACTCTATGCATTCTATAGCTTAGGAAAGCATGAATCCAATTTACCAAAGTTGTACTAACATTTAATTTGTTAAGTTTTTCAATTACAATCGTATGGTCAATAAGGTCAAATGCTTTTTTGTAGTCTAGAAGCAGGACTCGGGTCTCATTGCCTTGGTCTGCAGCTTCAAACCATTTGAACATTATTGAGATAAGGGCGTCAACTGTTGATACACCTGTCATACAGCCGAACTGATTTAAATCAATCTTGTCCTGAATTTCATTTAAAAGCATTTCTCCAATAATACTTTCAATTATTTATCCACATACAGAAGTTAAAGAAATTGGTCTGAGATAGGGACAATAGTTGCAGCTTTCCATTCGTGAGGGACAAACGATTCTCGTAAACTGGAGTTAGCAACTGCACAAAGAGGCTTTGCTAAAATGTTGGCAAAGTCCTTCAATACCCATGTGGGTATACTATCAGGCCCTGGGGATTTGTTTACACTTAGAGCTTTTAAATTGACATATATCTGATCATGCGTTATGATGAATTTGTCTAAGACAGGTGTATTAAGAGGGGCAACAGTGGGATTTTGAAGGGGTTCAAAATCATCAGTGACTGAATTGAACAATTCAGCCACTTTTTCTGCTAATTCTTGTTGGTTACCATTACATAGACTGTTTGTCACGTAGTTTAGAGGGCTGTTTAATTTAGTTTTGTTCAATAATCTATTGGTCTTACTCCACCATGATTTCACATCAACCTTGTAGAGCTGCGATACTTCCTTTTCATAGTATCTGCGTCTAAGTTTTTTAGAGGCTTTGTTTACTTTATATCTGAGTTTCCTGAATTCAATCATATTGCCTTTCTTGAGTTCAGCTTGACGTCTGTAGATCAAGGATTTGTAGTAACTTGTAACCCATGGCTTGTCAACATTAGTGCGAACAACTTGGATAAGCGGAAAGTGTTTTTCAACAAGAGTTCTGATCCGAGAAGCAAAGAATTCGTACTGCTCAGCAGAGGTTGCTTGCGCGTATAACTCATGCCAACGAATATTCGTAAGATCTTGCTCAAACAGTTCCTTTGCTTGATTGTTGACTTTCCTGTTATACAGGTGCGACTTAGTTGGTGGTACTCTTTTACTCACTAGGTTAGGCCTGCAAAGAACTACTAAGTGGTCGGACAGACCCAGTCCAGGTTCAGTGTATGGTGTTTCATAGAAATTTTCTATGGATGTATACATTAAATCCAGTATAGCATTTTCCCTAGTGCAATCCTTAACAATATGTTTTAACGGGAATTGCTTCAGTTGAGCATCTTTCATTCTATTGAAGTCTCCTAGTATGAAAATTCCGGTATCAGGATGCTTAGTGCGGATAAAGTCAAGGTTATTCGAAATGTGATTACACATAATGAAATCATTGGCCCTAGAGTGAGAGGATGGTACACAGCAGTAATAGTGATGTTACTAATAGTTCTAGGTAAGCATTTGGGTCGAATCATGGAGTAGCCATCAATATCGTATAAGCAGTCGTTCATGTGAGGTTTAAGGTGCAATTCTGTGATAACTATTACATCCGGGCAGGATTGCCTAACTCTTACCCTTAATTCTTGCATTTTATTCGTCAGGGAGCGAGAGTTTGTTAACAAAAAAGATGGGAGTGTCCACTTACTATCTACAAATGTAATGAGATTACATTGGTTTGGAATTCCTGGTCTCCTTTTTGTTCTTGGTATAGAAGAAACACTGATAGTTCTGATTTTCCTTTTGCCTGCTCTGGACCCTCTAGGTCTCGTCTTAGCTATTCTCAGTTTATTTAAGATCGAAAATAGTTCAACAGATGGCTTCCCAACGTAGCGGTTGTTCAAATCGATGAGCTTACGGCGAGGATACCTGTAACACATGATGATGAGCAGGTAGCCAAGTGTTGAGCTAGTCTCGAGCAATGTGTGAGCGGCGGGTGATCAGAAGCGAGAGTTTGATAAAAGCAAGTTCCTCCTACTGGGTCTTACAGGCCTAGCAATGGCTCAGAAAAAAAAAAACATCCTAAACACCAAAAATCGGAGAAAAATTCAAACAAAAAGCAGGCACAGACTCTTCACAGACACAACACTGAGGTAAAGAAACAAAATAGCACTGTATTTATTGATGAGAAAGACTGAAAATTTGTAAACTAATTCCAGACAAACTCAGTGCAGCTGCCGCTCACTGCAGCGCCACCTAAATGTTGTTTGATTCATTATGGAGTTGATTCATTATGGAGTTCTGGGAATGTTAATCGTGAGCATTTTATATGATTTCATCTCACAGCCCTTTTCCTCCGTCTATCAATGCGATAACAAAATCAGTTTCATTAACACTTCTCTGTTGCCACGCGCCATTGCGAGTTTTTGCGCGCGGTCAGTAGTGGGATCAGCCAAGCGAATCATTGGAAGCGAGACTTTCTTACCGAAAGTCAATTGTAAACTTTCACTTGACAAGTTTAGTGGAAACCGGCCCTTAAACATGTTTTGTAAACACAAAATCATGTTTGTCTGTACAAAACCTGTTTGGTAAACGATTAAACCATGTTTGTCGACACAAAAACATGTTTTGTGAAAACAAAATCATGTTTTTCATTACAAAACATGTTTTGTAAATGACAAAATAATGTTTGTCTAAACAAAACATGTTTGTGAAGACCAAAATATGTTTGTACAAAACATGTTTTGTAAATGACAAAACATGTTTTGTAAAAGACCATAAAAGAAGAAGTTTTGTAAATGACAAAACCATTGTCTATAATACAAAACATGTTTTGTAAAAGACCATAAAAGAAGATGTTTTGTAAAGGACAAAACTATGTTTGTCTATACAAAACATGTTTTCTCGCTTACAAAACATGTTTTGTGAAGACAAAACATGCTCCGTCTACTAGACTAATGCTTGTTCATAAGGATGAGGAGTCATATTAAACTCGTGACTGACAGAGTGGAAAAAGGTGAATCTTCCACGCCCACGCCGCCGTCGGTCATCACCAGAGATAATGGGCTTGGCATGGTATGGGGTAGCGACCAAAATATAGGCAAGAAATCCGATTATTGACCAACATGAGCTTGGCCACCTATGCAAGGTCTAGGCTAGACCTAGGATAATCCCCCCTAGGACATGATAGGTGAGATTCATGTTAGGTAGGTAGTAGGTATGTATAGTGGGGAACCATATGTCAAATGGGCTCCATTAAATCTTAATCAGCTGCACGGGGGCCTCTACCCATTACATATAGGCCAATGGCTGGAGGGTGGTCACTGTGCACCACCACCCCAGTTAAACTTCCTTGGTATCATTTTCTTCCTACAGGCATATAAAACAAACTAGAGATACTATGTTCAATAGAACATGAACCCAGTCATTTTTTAAGAGATAACTACTATGACTTTCAAGCTCAACCTGTGTGAACACCCCATGTTTGGTAGGAGTCTGTCTAATGCAATTGGTCCAATCATTACTCACTAGAAATCATAATGAAAACTTTTCCACTATTTGCGACAAAAGCTCATTCAGGTAAATCTGACCTACATCTTATGCATGATCGCACTAACCGCAGAGAACTCAAAAATTCGTAGCTGATATTGGCCTTAAGCGCGTGACGTCATTCATAGACAGGGTAAAAACAGTTCTGAATACAAAATTGTAAAGAAAAAATGATTAATGATTATTTAAGCATACCAGAAAATAAAACATTCTTAATTTTAACCTCTTTCCTATGCAAAGCATAAGAGATAGTCAACTTTGAAAGAAAAATGATCACTCAATTTTGAATTAATTGTAAAAATATGTAGATGATTATAAAGCTTAAAACCTTTAGTTTCATAATCCCATCATTGCCAAATGAAACCATTCAAATTATATAGTCGATTTTGTGAGAAAAGGGACTTTTACTGTGTGCAGTGAACTGTTCAGTGATCAGATGTCCTCAAGGTTTCATTATGATTTGATAGTGACCCTTGTTACTTTTGACCTATAGGTGAAGAGTCGTTTTTCATGTTTAGAAGGTCCTAAGGATCATTCCTGGTAAATTTGAGCTCAATGGACTATTTTAAAAATTTGACCCCGATGACCCCTATGTAACCCTGATCCCAGACTGAGGTGTAGGAGGTGTCGCCGGTTCTTCATGACGAAATTTGATTCAATTTCGTCCAATAGTTTGGTATTAGTAGCATTTTGAAGTGTTACTAGAGAGAACAAAAAAATAACCCTTTAATGACTTTTGAACGTAAATTTCTGAACACCATAGAGACCCTACCTTATGCCAATACATATGTGCACAGGATAAGTCTGTGCTATGTTATTTGTGACGAACGAAATCTCTTATTCATTTTTTTGAAAGTTTTTTTACCCTCATGACCCCTATGTGACCTTTGATCCCAAGCAGTGAACACCCCATGTATGAGAGGTGTCACTGGTTATACTGACCAGGTTTGGTTGAAATCGGCACAACCGTTTGGCACTAGTAGCGTTTTGAAATGTTGCCAGAAAAAGGATAAAAATTACCCCTTAATGACCTTTGACCCCTTATCCCTGAACACCCTATAGACTCTGCTTTATGCCAATGTATATGTTCAAAGGACAAGACTGCGCTACGTTATTTGTGAGACAAGTAGTCTTTTATACCATTTTTGGTTTTTTGACCCTAATCCCCATTATGTGACCTTTGACCCCAAGTTGTGAACAACACATAAATGGGGGATGCACCGGTCCTACTGACCAAGTTTTAATTAAATCGGTCCAGTAGTAATTGGTAGTAGTAGTAGATTTTATTAGGCCTATGAATCTTTCTTCCTTTACACTCGCTACAATACGACGGCACTAGAATGGGCGCTTCGTTTGGGAATTCAAAACTTGAAATGGGACACCGGAATTGCCAAAGACAGCTTGTACATTGGTCCGATCATCGCTTCATTCAAACTGGTATTTCTACTAGGCATGCGCACACGCCCAGGTAACAAGCCCATAAGGGACCCCATATGCAGATCTATATATTTGTACCATATGTGCAATCTTTGAGGATTGCACCCAAGTTTCATGTAGGACCCATGTGATTTAGCCCACATAGCCCAGATATAACCCATTTGGGGCCCACATGGAACCCACATTAATTTGTATGTGGGTGGCATATAGGTTTCCCATATGGGACCTATATTTTCTGACCCGTATGGGTACCATATGTGCTATCCTTGAGGAAACCTCCGGATTCTGCTCCCAAGATCCATGTGGGGCCCATCTGATTTAGCCCATAGCCCAGATATAACCCATTTGGGGCCCATATGGAACCCACATGCATTTTTACATGGATTTTCCCATATGGGACCTATATTTCCCGACCCATATGGTGGGCTATCCTTAAGGAAACCTCCGGATTCTGCACCCAAGATCCATGTGGGATCCATCTGATTTAGCCCATAGCCCAGATATAACCCATTTGGGGCCCATATGGAACCCACATGCATTTTAACATGGGCTTTCCATATGGGACCTATATTTCCCGATCCATGGGTACCATATGGGCTATCTTTGAGGAAAACTCAAGATTCTGCACCCAAGCCCCATGTGGGGCCCATAGCCCAGGTATAACCCATTTAGGGACCATATGGAACCTGTATTTCCCAACCCATGGGTATGGTATGGACTAGCCCTTAAGGCACCCTCTGGATTCTGCACCCAAGCCCCATGTGGGGCCCACATCTTTCAGAGAACCCATATGGGGCTAACATGGTACCCTTATGCATTTGTATATGGGTGGCATATGGGATTCTTTCATGGTACCCATATGCAATTGCACGTGGGCGGTATATGGGCCCCTTATTTTCTGGCCCATATGGATGTAATATGGGTTTGCCCATATGGGGCCCCTCGTATTCTCCACCAAAGCCCCATGTGGGAAAAACATGGTACCCATTGCAACTGCAGATGGGTGGTATATAGGTGTCCCATATGTGAGGCCCATATTTTCTCGCTCATTTGGATGGTTTGCCCATATGGGAGCCTGTATGGTTTAGCTGACATGGCCCAGAGAGAACAAATATGAAGGCTTTCTGACTTGGCTTCTAACTCTGGTTTGAATATTGGCTGAGTCGATGACCATGAGCTAGGTGAATATTTCAACAAATTACTCCTTTTCTGAAAATAAAACTTTTCAATTGCACGTAGAGTACAAAATATTGTTACTGCAATGATTAAACAAAACGGTTATTTCAGTTTAACACAACAATCATTTTATTTATTTTGTAGAAAAAGCAATATCGTCAATTGCAAATACAAAATAGTGGTAAATGAAATCAAAATTTCTTAATGTCCCTTAATAACTATACAATTCAATTTCTCCAGCTCCTTGGAAAGTAAGAATACTACATCATTTTGATCGCATTGGG